TAATAGAATGTAAAACTTTGGTATATTATCCAGGTAGTTCCTTGAGATTTGCAGTCTGCTACTTGGTTTTACGTTTCTCCCTGTCTATGTGCTTGTGTCTGTATGTTAATTCTCAGGAGGTTTTTTTTCACTCTGCTGGCTAATTTCAGCTGAACTTGGGAAAGGAAGAGAGTTTCCAAGAGAGTGAAGTTGAAATTACATTATATGGCTGTGCTGATCTAATTCCTACCTCTATTGTCACTAGAGAAAAGCTTTTGTTGATGGTTGAACCATTTGAGCTGCAGGTTCAGCCCAGCTGGTCAAGAAGTTACTCCCTTGGAGAACACTATGGAAAGCTTTTCTCTTGGTGAGGACATTCATACTGGACCTTTCTTGTGTGACTTCTCCCATGCTGAGGAAAAGATGAGCTTGGACAACAACTCTGGTGCATGCAGTTCATATAAGTTAGTCAACAGGAGACAAATCCATTGGAAAGAAGGTCCTGGTGTTCCGGGAACTCTCTCTTTGGCTCTGTAATACTTCACAGGTTATCCCAGGGTGTAAGCAATTAACGCTTTCCTGCATTAATGTTAGACTTTCCAGAAAGAGGGAAGGACGTCATTCTCTTCACTTTTTAATTCTGCTGAAAAGGCATGGTGTCATTCGAAAACATTTTATTTACTTTCAGCCCTTTGGGTATATATTTCTTAGTTGTCCAGCATTTCATGGGAGTGAAGGATTTGGTTTAGTTGTGCAGTTCATTTAGTTGTTGTGAGACAAAATAATTGACTTAAATATGAAGTAGAAAAGGTGACTGTTCCTACTGCCTATGAAAAGCATTGCTAAGCAATCTTACTGATAGCTTGACTGTTTTAGACTCTTCAGAGATTGCTATGATATAATTACACTTCATATGCTTTATTGGGATGAAATTCAGGGGCAGGGAGGGCAAAGGGACTAGCATATTGTTCCTGTATAATCCCTTCTCAGACAATCCGTACCTTGTACTTTTTAAAGAATACTAATCCTTATGATATGTCCTCCAAGAGGGTGTGTGTCTCCCTTTCAAAGCAGCTGTGGAGCCTTCTGCTGAGACAAGGCAGGAATTAGAGGCAGAACAAAGTGCTGGGGATGTGCTGTGTTGGGTGGTGAAAGGAGGGTTTCAGGGACATGAAAGCTTTATCATAAACTTGCCTCGTATTAGCTGTGCGTTTTTGTAACCTGCACTGTGGGTTTGTTGAGTGGATTTCTGCATGTAAATAAAAAAGTAATTTAAAACCCCCACATCCTATTTGGAAGGAGGCCTTAGTTTGACCTTAGAAGAAAATAGGAGCATATGGGTTTTCTTGGGTTTTCTTTTTTTATTTATGTTCTATGATCATGTGCCATAATTTAGGTTAATGAATTACTAAATTAAGTAACTTAATGAAAGTTAATTAATGCTTTAAAGCTTAACATACTTTATGCTTTAAAATACTGAAAGTTTTATTAACTTAAGCTACTTTCATGCTTGGAGATCTGGACTGAGATTGGGGTCCCATCACATGAAGTGCAGTATGAGCACATAAAAGAAGACACTATGTACTGTGTGGCTGTATAGCTGGCAAAGGATGGGGACAGAGGAGGAACAGCCATACAAAGGTTAAAAATGCATTTTGTTTGTTTGAGAAACTTCCATCAGTGCTGTTCATGCCTCTTGCATATTTTCCTGTTATTATTGAGGAATTCTAATGCCAGATCCTGTTCCCTTTCTCTGGACTGTGCTTCCAATGACTTTAGCATCGGGAAGGTTAGGTGAAGATGACCATCTCAAATTTGGATGTGTTAAAGTTGAACAGATACGTTTTCACTGGGGATTTTGTGCTGCTTTTGTGTGTTTAAAAGGAAATCCTTAATTAGTGATTAGTTTCAAATAAAATGAAAAGCAAAGAGAATAAACTTGTGTTAAAAACCACAGGAACATGCATATGTACATAGTTTTGCAAACATCTTGCTTGCAGGTTATGCTGATGTGGCCTTGGTGGGTGTCTATGCATGTGCTTCTAGTCCTACCCTCTTGTTTTACATGGACACCCAATTTGAGTTATAACCATAGGTTCAAATTCAGGAAGACTCATTAATGTTACCCATGGATTCACTGTTCACCAGGATTTACTGTTACTTAAATATTTCTGAAGGCGTACAGTTGGCCACTGGAAAATTCAAGGTGGAACAAAGGCAACTCCATGTGTCCTGGGAGCAAAAAGCAATGTATCTGGTGATGTGGTTTGGATTTTGCTTACATACTTCCCATTTGGGTCTTCCTGCTAACTTAGTAGCCTTCAAGGTGGCAATCACAAAATCAAATTAAAGGCATACAGTGATACCAAAAAGGTCTTAAGGCCATCTGTCATTTTGCATATATAGATTTTGGTTTTGTATTGCTTATTCTTGAGAGAAAGGGAAGGAGTTTCCCAGGAAAGATTGCATCACCTTGGGCATAGGCAGCGCTGCTGGCAGAAATGGATTCTTGCTCAGCCCTTGCCCTTGCTCAGTTCCTGCAAGATGTTAGCCATGGCACTTAAACCCCAGTTTTTATAAGTGGCATCTGTGTGGTGTTATCTGGTTGTCTGACTTGTGAACTGTACTTCTAACTTGAGACAGAGGACTTCTGAAAGTTTTCCAGGGTTGGAAGTCCAAGAGTCCCTTTAATAAAGGCAACCACTTTGTTGTCTATTTCTGAACAATTCCAATCTTGCAATCACATAAACCGTTTGTGCTGCTTGCCTGTATGGGAATGCTTTGTTAGAACCCAATATTTGTCATAGAACAGCAGGTTGGAAGGGACCTCAGGGGTCATCTGGTCCAAGCTTTCTTGGCAAAAGCGCGGTCTACCAAGATGTCCCAGCACCTTGTCCAGTTGAATCTTAAAAGTGTCCAATGTCAGGGAAACCGCCACTCCCCTGGGGAGATTATTCCAGTGGCTGATTGTTCTCATTATGAAAACTATTCCTCTTGTGTCCAGTCAGAATCTTTCTGGGAGTAGCTCATGCCCATTACCAGTTGTCTTTTCCATCTGACTCCTTGTAAAAAGGGAGTCACCGTCTTCTTTGTAGCCACCCTTTTAAATACTGGAACATGGTGATAAGGTCTTCCCTGAGCCTTCTTTTCTCAAGGCTACACAAGCCCAGCTCTCCCAGCCTTTCCTCCCATGGCTTCCCAGTCCTTTATCATCTTTGTGGTCCTTCTCTGAACTCTCTCCAGCCTGCTGACATCTTTGCTGTATAGCAGGGACCAAAACTGAACCCAGTATTCTTGGTGTGTCCTGACAAATGTGGAGTGGGATAATGACTTTTTTATCTCTGCTGGTAATGTCCTTGTTGATGCAACCCAGCATCTTGTTGGCTTTCTTGGCTATTCAAAAATCTTCCGATTTTCATTCTAACCTCAAGGCATGGCTTATTTATATCATATTGTTCTTGTGCCTGCCAAAGATTGAATTAGTCCTTTTTCTCCTTTTTTTGCTAGGCCCCAGCTAGAATTCCTCTTTCTTGAATCTTGTGCCTTGAGTTTTAGTTTTAAGTTTTTGGTGACTTGCAGAAATGCTGCATAGTCACCACAGAAGCTGAATCAGTGCTTCAGTAAAATGAACTAATATCCATTTCTCTGGAAGACTAGAGTCAAATTAGCAACTGGTTTTTCCCTTTATTCTCTCTGTGCCTTTGCTTGTTGTTGGTAAAACAATGTCCCATGGCAGGGCATTTGGACTACATGATCTTTAAAGGTCCTTTCCAACCCAAACTGTTCTGTGGTTCTAAATGTGGGCAATAACCCCCAATATCATGTAGATGCTGTAAACATGAATTGATTGATGCTTGTGAAGTGTTCAGATGCTGGGGTGATAAGTGTCATAGAAAATCGTGTGAGGAACTTAATAATCTTGTCATCAGAGCAGCTTTTGGGTAAAGCGCACGGACACACATGGTTCAGGGTGAGGAAAACAAAATACTGAATAGCTCCTCATTAAATGCATGTTGTCCTTTCTGTGTAGTGGGGGAGACAGGCAGTGAGGAAATACAGTATATAGCAGAGTAAACAAAGGCTGACTCATGATTCGTATGAACAAGGGAATGAATGTGAAATTTCTTTGGCATTCTTTAATGTGTTTCCTTACTCATCTGTTCATGCCCTTTATTTTGACATATACTTGGTGGATGAATTATTAATACATAGTGTGTAAATCCTGGTACTTCTGATGATAAGGTTACAGTTAGTTAGGTTACAAAGCTTGCTTATGGTGAGCCCTTATTTGATTTTCAGCTTTATTTCTTTTTGAATTTGTTTAGCTTTATAGTTGTTGATTAAAATGTGTCTGTATTTAAGTACACAGTTTGTACTACAGTGGCATTATACCCACTGCAGTACCAGAAACAGTGTATTTAAAGAAAGATACTGTTCACTAAATCTGCATTGGAGGTGGGGAGGTATCCAAGGATTGGAAAATGGAGGAGTTGGAAAAAGAAACTCCTTCATGGGGGCTGAGGAGTAACAAAGGTACCAGACAGATACATCGCCTGGTTATTCTCATACAGTAACTGCTGCTTTTTCATTTCACCTTAATCTTTGCAGATTCTGCCTAAATTGTTTCTATTTTTCAGTAATTATCTGGACAGGCCTGAAAAGTACAAAGGTTTTAAAAAATGAGGTTTGGCAGCAACAAATCTGCAGAAGGCACCCTGGCTTTCTTAAAGAAAGCAACAGTGTTGTAATGTTCCTAGTCCCAGTGCTTCTGTTTTCATGGCAAGACACACTGGGGCCCATGGTTTATGTTGTGGAGTACTGCTGGCCACTGTTAGAAGTCAAGGGACCAAAGCTTGGATTCATGCAGTAGGAACAGTTGCCATATTCTGTATAAGCTAAGGAAACAGCCTACTAAGGGAAGAAAACCCAAAGCAAAATGCGTATCTCAGCACTATAAACTTGAACATCATCAGTTTTTATGTAAAACTTTACTGATTTCCTTTTTTTTTTATCTTTTATGATTTTAGTTTGGAAATTGATTAAAGGTTCTCCATAGAATTCAACATGGCGTCAAAGCAGTCATCTCCCTCAACAGAGGAGCAGGCTTCCTCTGAAATAGATGATCTCTATCTATCTCTGCAAGGTAAGTTACTGTATTTTTCTGTACCTTTTTAATGTAGATTTTTGGCAAAAATCTGTGACTGTGTATGAGTTGAAGAGAATTTTGAGAAACCTGTAAAAACCAGCATATGATCATTGTAGTTCGTCTGTGCTTCTTTGCAGATGTTTGTGTGTTTCAGGAGAGATCCTTCAGCAGTGAAATGAAAGATATCAGCTCTTGTAGTCCTTTCTTGGGGTATTTTCAGATCTGGTGCCTTTTTTGGTGCAGATGTGTTCATCGTTTTTATGTTTTGTTACTCAGAATACATGTTACTGTAAACTATTTTGAAAGGAATTGGCAGCATGAAAAGAGTTGTGTCATTTCATTAGTTTCCTTGCTTTCAATTTGTGGCAATTAGTTAGTTGCATTAAGCTGTCTTAATGAGGCTATTAATTACAGTACAGTTTTATTTGTTTTTCTGTTCTTACCGCTATATCCCCTGCAAGTGTAGAAAGATAGCTTGTGGCCAAAACAGGTAGAAAAGTTTTGTGGCTTGTAAACAAATTTCTTTCAGGTCAGAGTCTTTCATCCTTACTTACAATGAGTTATAACTTGTTAAGGAAGCATTCACTGGCTGATTTTTAATTCTTCCAATTTAATGGCAGCTACCTGGACTAGTTAGGTGATAGTGAGTGCAGCAGAGCTGGCCTCTTGGATAGGCTTGATGGGTTTTCCCTAATCACATGCTGAATTTCCTTCTATAAGAATTTCCTGGGAAGACTGATTTTCGTCTGAATGTATACATGAAAACATAAATGGAGGCTATCAAGGAGGCTAGTCCAGGCAGCAGGACTAGCACTGCTGATAAGCCTGTCTTTGATGTGTTTAGAGCCTGGTTATTCTAGGACAAATGGCCTAAGTTATGTTTCCACAGAGCTATTTCATTTTAGCTCACTTGCAGTGCAATTACTATGGTGCCTAGTTGAGAAAAAATATGTTTAAAACAGATGGTGCAAAAGGCTATTCTGCCAAGTCACTTTTACGATCCATATTTGCACTGATATTGTTGTTGAAGCAGAGTGTTTTGATGAGTGAGTGTTAACAGTGGTCTACAGCCAAATGTCTTTAATGGTGAATTTTCTTCCATTTTGCTTTAGTATTGCATTTCAGGAAAGCAAGCAAAACCTCCTAGCAGACAGGAACTAGTCTGCTTGTTGCACCAAGCACAGATTGTCAGACACACATTTGTTGTGCTAGTCAAACTCAGCTTTCAGTAGAAAGACTGATGTGGCTGTGTCATGAAATGGGTTTGGAAAACCCTATCTTGCTTTAAGGTAGAAGGTGCTGAATTAGTTACATGTGATTTTGGAACACGGTTTTATTTTGAAATTATATTCATGCTGTTTTCTGAAAAGTCATATTGGTGTTTACGTGTCAAATAACAGTAGGGGGTTTTAGTCAATACCTCAGTGAAGGAGCCCTGCTTATTAAAATCGAAACGACTAAATTATATTTCTCTGCTGTAATAATTTGAGCTCCTAGATGATGCTGAAATGAACACACTGCAAATCAGGGGCCAAGCTGTATGTACCTGACTGCTGTAAAACATTTGGAGACATCCCTTAGAAGTGACATGAACAATTTTTGTAATGATTAGAGGTGCAACAAATGGTACACATGCATTCTATGTGTGAAGCTGTGACACTGCAGCATCCACCCTGGGTCAAACAAAACGCAGCATTGTTTTCAGCTACCTGAAATAAGGAGGCACGTCAGCTCCTTTGGTAAGAGAAGGGCTTCATGGCAGTGTTTTGAGAACTGCTGGAGATTGACTACTCTTTGCTGACGAGCAGGAAATGTGGGAATCGTTTTTGCTTTCAGAATGTAAATCTCTATACCTATGGGAGGATCCAACCGCCACTATTCCTCCCATGCACAAATCCTTCCCCTTTCTTCCCTAAGGACAGCAAACACCCTATGTGTTGTGCTTCCCACCAAGCCTGTGCAGAACTCCATTTTCCCTTTTCTTTCTATTTTGCTGGACTAATTCAGATACAGGAAAGTGTGTTTTAGCTTTTGGAGTTTGGGGAATGTACTTACTCTTTCACTGTTTAATTAACTGCAGGGATCCTAATTTTTGGCTCTGCTTATTAATACATGTACCTATGACTGTTATTACTGTAACCCAAAGGATGATCATGTAAGAATGTGGCTGCTAAAACTGTTTTAAGTCTTTAATGATATAAATGTATCATGCTATTTTCATGCAGTTATGTCTAATCCTTTATGAATGATTTATTTTCAAGTGAGATTGAAAATATGGTGATATGCATGGTGAAGTTTTGTTGTGCAGCCTGTAGTAGATTGCACTCATCTCCAAGTGAAGAGACCCATTTAATTCATCCAGAGGTCAGGCAGACTACTAATTCTTACCCAGCTTTTTTGTTTGTTTCCAGGTGTATGCCTCATCCATTGCAGCCTTCTGTTATTACAGCTACACTCTGTTTTTTCTTTATCCAGAATAATAGAATCATAGGACAGTTTGGGTTGGAAGCGACCTTAAAGATCATCTAGTTCCAACCCACCCTGCCATAGGCAGGGACATCTTCACTAGACCAGGTTGCTCAAAGCCTCACCCACCTGTCCTTGGGCACTGCCAGGGATGGGGCAGCTACAGCTTCTCTGGACAACCTGTGCCAGTGCCTCACCACTCACATTAGACATTTTCCTAATGTCTGATCTGAGTCTCTCCTCTTTCAGCTTAAAGCCATTACCCTTTGTTCCATAACTACATGCTCTTTTAAAAAGTCCCTTTCCAGCTTTCTTGTAGGCCTCTTTAGGTACTGGAAGCTGCTCTAAGTTCTCCCCAGGAGTCTTCTCCAGGGTGAGCAACCCCAACTCTCTCAGCCTGTCTCCACAGGAGACGTGTTCCAGCCCTCTGATCGTGTTTATTATGGTTTTTCAAGGTAACTTTTGCAAATGGAAAAGCTCCTATGGGAGCCGCACAGAAATGTATGCCCTGTCTGTGCCGCGTGCTGTCCAGGCGAGGAGCTGGTCTGCAGTTCCCGTAACTGCAGAGCTTCGTGGCATGTGACGGGGCTGATGGCACTGGAGAGGCAATGACACATGACGCTGCTTAAAAAAGAATCAGTCATGGGTATTTTTGTCCATTTCACATGCCTAATGAATAAATAGATTGTATAGTTGTATATATGTGTTCCGTACTAGGTAAATTTCAATTTGTTAAAAGCATTATCAGGTGCATAACTGGTTAACAGGTTAAAAACTGGCATTAAAATGCCTAAGGAGCGGATGGCTTCAGAGGCACCTATATAGAGCACTGAAGGCCACTTACATTCAAATCCCTGCTGCACTTGTGGATTTTCTTTAAAATGTTAGAAACGCCACTTAAGCCCTTATCTTTAAAAGTTTGTTGATATTTAAATGGTGTGACTTAGTATCTTGAAGAATTTAACCTGCAACCTGTCTGTGCCCCCAAGTACTGCAGTAGAACTACACGGGCTGTTGTGGCAGTAAAGACAGTGGTGATTCTGGGCAGAGCAGCTCCAGGATCCCAGCAATGAGGAGAGCAAAAGTGTTTAAGAAAGCCGGAGGGCAAAACTCAGTGTGAACATGCTTCCTGAGCTAGCTTGTGGTAAATTGGATAATTTGCCTTCAAAAGGAAAAGGAGTTTGAAAGGAGTAGTGTAGAAAGGAAAGTTTCCACTTGCCGTGCAGACATGGTAGCAGTTAATTAGTTGATATTTATACAATATTTGGATTTGCAAAGGCCCATTCCTGTAGAAGTATTTTCATCACCTTCCTTTGGATAACCTTCTTAACCTTAAAAAAAAAAAATACTGTGGGGTTTTTTTGGTTTTGGTTTTTTTTTTTGTTTGTTTGTTTGTTTAAGTTGCTTAACACCATGTTGCTGAACAGAAATGCTGGAAGTAACTGTTTTCCCTGCTTTCCTGTCTGCAGAGAATGAAACTCTGTTACTGGGTGGAATGGAATGGATTATATAAAGGGCTCAGGGGTGAACTGCTCACTCTTGCTCTCCCAGGGTTGGCAAGTACTTAACAGTTCTGATAGTTCCTATCACTTACAACATGGACCTGCTCAGTGGTTTAGGTCATATCAGCAGTACTGTCTTGAAGGAGTTCTCCCGGTTATCCCTCCTGACCATGCTTTGGTTCATTTTGTTGAGCCATCAGGGAGTGTGGGAATGGTTATTTGAGATGAAACTGAAATAAATGCTCCAAGGATGGAGCACTCCATGGCTATCTGTGGACATTGAGGTTAGAGCTAGTCCAACACAACCTTTCTTCCCTGCACATGTAGTGGGTGCTCTACGTCCTGAGCACCGGCTCTTTTGATTTGCTGATCTGTTCCTGTTGAACTCCACTGCTTTCTACTGTAGATGTAGCCTGAGCTGACCTGAATGGTGAAAGGAAGATACAAAAATATCATACACAAGAAGTAATTCCTTCTGGCGAAACAGAGATGGGAAGATGACAGACAGACTTGTGCTCACTAATTTCAAATAATGATTTAATTTTTTAAAATTTGTTTTAAAGAAAAAAACCCTCACAGTTGTAAATGGTTCACTGGCAGTGATGCACCAGTCCTCGCGATAGAAGAAAACCTCTTTGCTGTTTGGTGACGTTGCTTGATGAGTGTGAACAGACAGGCTACATCTGCTGTAGTTTGATTCACCCAACTCCCTGCTGAGGGAGGAGACGGTGCTTTCCCTGGAGCTGCCATCTCCCATCTCAGGAAGGGAGTTGTGAAAGGCAACAGAGGAGAAGAGATTAATTTTAAGTCTGGCTATTCTGTATCGCCGTTAAAGGAAGGCTGAGAGTAAAAACATGACTGGCAGTGCTGCTGCCCTCCTCCTGGGAGAGCTCAGCACTGCCATGGTTCCCACCGAGTCTCCATGCTGCAGCCCTTAATGATTAGTGTGGTTTGTAGCACTTGCTGATAGCTCATTACTGGATAAAACAGCCAGTGTCCAGCAGCGTGTGTTGATTTTTGGCTAGCCTATGTAACACGCTGCTTCTATGCGTTATTCCCCTCTAAAGAGTTGTTCTGAAGATTAGCTTTAAAACACAGGGTGAAATGTGATAGATTTTGGGTGGTTTAAGATTAGCGGGTTCTTTGTTCTCTAGGTCCACTTTTTGACTTGGTGACTTTTGGCCCAAAGTGAATGAAATTATCAGGGTTTTTTTGATAGTGTTTTTTTTTTTTTTTTCTGGGTCAGTGACATTTGAAAACTAGGGCAACAGAAAACCAAGGTCACTTAGAGTCCTATTAAAAGGCCTAACAAAGAATCCATTCATCCTCATAAAAATAAAAATCTGTATTAATTAACCACATGGTAGAGATAAGAATTTGAGAGCTTGATTAAATCGTTAGCGCCTCTGAGCAGTAGAGTCAGATGGGAGCTGGGAGGGAAAACACACTGAGCCTGAAAATTGCAATACGACTGTCATGGTGACAGAAGCACCTCTGTACCAAGCTGTGGGTTGTGTGGTCTGGGTAGAAACAGCAGGTGCTGCACTACAGTCTGGGGAAATATTGGCAAGCATGGAGGTCTGTTATTATTTCAGGAGGAGATTTTATTACTATTATTTATTTGGGTAGGAAAATAAGCCACACTGCAGCTGAGGCGGCAGCTGCTTGGAAAGCAGCCTGGTGGGTTGCACTAGGCAGCAGTTGTAGCTTGGGGAGGGTTTAAGGTGTGCTTAGGTGTGTGCAGTGAAATAACCACCTTGTACTTTCACCAGGTGAGACATTTGCCTGAGAGCTGCTAATGTGAATCAACACTTGCAGTCTCTGGTTCATATTGCATAATGTAGCAAGTTAGTAGGGAGAGACTTGACCAAACCAAAACTGAACATCCTCGTCCTAACCCTCTTTCTGTAACTGACCCAAAGAACAAGTTCTCTAACTCAGTAGCAGTAGTGTGTGTTTGGAAGAGCTACAGCTGGAAGAGTCACTGGCGTCAGGCAAAGCAGTCAATATTTGTTTTCCATCCCTTTCAAGTGCCAGCAATACCAGCCTTGCCTGCCTGATAAAATTGAGCGCAGCTACTCAATAATCGCCCATTAGGTAATTGGAATGGCTCCCGCATGTGTATTCAACCAAAGGGTGTGGCTGGGCCCTGTGCTAACATGAAGCCACTTTCTCCATGCTATTTATGTCCTCCTTGTGAGCGCTGAAGTGCTGGTTGGTCTGTGTGTCATGTTGCATTTATTTTCTGTTATCCAAACAGAACAGAATTTTGAGATTGCATTTTTGTTCATGGCTTCAAGACTGCCCTTATCTTACAGGTCATCAGTCTCTGTGATACTTAAAACCAAGCACAAAACAATCCCACAAGTGGGGGAAGTTGTTTCAGCTCCGACAGGATCACAGTATTGGAGGTTAGAGGAGGACTGTTGAAAGATGTATTAGCTACAGGATGCAAACCAGCCCTTCATGCAGTGTAATGCGTGAATGTTTTTCCTGCCGCTCACCTACCTGGTGAAGCAGGAGGTCTGTGGTTTGGATGGTGGGTTTGGAAGCAGGAGTTTGTGTTATCCTTACGCAGCTTGCTCTGCTTCACGAGCTGATGGAGCTCTGCGTGGCAGGCCCTTCAGGCCATCTTGGATGATGAAAAGCCCCTGAGAACTGGGGTTTGTGGCTGCCAAGTTCCAGAGTGATAAACTGTGGGCCATTTTCCTGAGTGGCATTTTCATTTCCATGGGCAGAGCAGTCAGGATTTTTGTTTTTTCCCCAAGGGCTTGCTATTTTTGGTATCTTTCATCATGCCCAGCCTACAAAAACATCCATGTCTATTGCCGAGTGGTATTGCACTTGCCTTGTGATGTCAAACTGGCATTCACATTACTGTTTTGTGCAAGAGCATGCTTTCAGAGGCAGAAGAGATGGCTGCTCCCATCCTATCTCCCAGATTTGTTTCTTCTTGCAAGCTGATGGCCTTGTCAGTCTCCAGCTGCGCCTCCCCTGCCGTGGGAGGATTTACCTGGGCTGGGAGGTGGGCAGTGAGTACTGCCGCAGCTGCCTTGCCCACCATCTTTCTCCAGGCCTGGGCCGTACACGCTGCCCGACCACCTGCTGCTCCTCAGGGAGCTGCACTGGGGCCATGGTGCAGGACACGCACCGTCCTCCTCTATCCTGCTGGCAGGGCTGGCGTCCCATGGCCCATCTGCCTCCTGTAGCCATGTATGGAGGGCTGTAACCTCAGGGCCAACACCTCCTGCTGTTACCTCAGGCCTGTTTACAGATGTTCAAAAAAATGTGTGTTTGGTGGTGGTGTGTCTTGGGAATGGGGTGGGTTTTTAGGGAGGGAGCATGGGCTGTGTTCCACGGGCTATGACCATGGATGGGAATGGAGAGCTGGTATCATCTGCTTCTGCTGCTCACACTCTGCTTCACCCTTTGGGGGAACCAGACTTTTCTTCATCTCTGCTACCCACAGACCATGGAGAAAGGCTTTTTCCTCTCTTTAACTCTACTCTGGTGCAAGAAGCAGCTTAAATATTCTGATTTTTGAAACATTGGCTTAACCAACTTCCTCTCTCTCTTCACATCTGCTGGTAGTTTATCACTGTGTACTGTCCTGAAGGACCTGGGTGAAGAGCTGGATCTCTGCATGACCAGATCACACTTTGAGTCCCATTTCACTGTTTTTTTTACTGGCACATGAGTTCAAGAGCTTCCTTCTTCTTCCCTCCTTTTCTAAGACCCTGCGTGCCCCTTTCTGGTCAGATTAGTGGTCTGTATACCCTAGGGAGGGCCCAGCACTGAAAAGGACATAGAGGGTATATTCCCTGATGACAGCCTAATAACTCTCCCCAGCCCTGCGGTTAGCCAAGAATTCCCATTCTCTGGCTTCACCTACAGATCTGCGTTTATCACCTAACCCCAGCGTACGTATTGGTCTCTTCAACCAACCCCATTAATGGCTTCTCCCAAATTTCAAGATGGATCTTGTACCAACGATACCCTTGCGTCTTTCAAGAAACACTTAGGAATGGACAGACTTATTCTAGATGTATTGCTCTGGAGAATGATGTGTTTATACCACTGTTTGCATTTCCTGAGCTTTGGAGAAAACCTTCATGAGTTGCTCTTTGCTGCGTTCAGTAGAAGCATGCTTGCTGGCGGTTGAGGTCCTTGCAGTAGCATCTCTGCAAGCAAGAAAATATCAGCTCTAAAATAAGAGCTGAAAAAACCTGATATAAAGCCTCACTTAATATCTGGAAGTATGGACCTTAGGTTTGAGATGGACACCATGTATGTTTTTGAGAAAGAGAAATAAAAACAGATAATTTTTTCCATTAACCATTTTTTTCTTCCCCCCCTCCCCAGTGCAGCGAGAGTTTACACAGAAGAAAACCTTCACCAGCTGGATAAATTCAATACTGGCAAAGGTAAGAAGGGGATTCTTTAGGAAAGATATGCCTTTTGCCTTTTTGCTTCAGATGTGCTGCTTCGAGATTAAATATTTTAGGAATAAACAAAATTAATATAAGATTTTTAGGTATTGCCTGGAAAAATTAGCCCCTGGAAAGCATTTGTTTTATAGGTGCAACAGCATTGTTTTGGTGATTGTCCAATGACGTTTGTAAGGTGTTTCGTAAAAAGAGAACAGTATTTCTCTTGCTGCTGTGGTAAAACATACTTGTGCTGGACTGTGGCACACGTTTCAGAGTTTAATGAGGTTCCTTATTTGTGCTTGGGATTGTCCTGACCCAGGTGCAGGACCTTGCACCTTTCCCTTTGTCAGAGTTTTGGGGTCTTTTGCCACATACCTCCTAGAAAAGTATAAATACTTGAAAATGAGGCCTAAAAATAACCTTTATAAAATAAGGAGGCAAGGCAAGGGAGAATAAGAGACAAACATATTAATGGATTATGAGCAGCAGGATATGGCTGGTTCGATGCAGGATTTATATTTCAGTGTATTGAAAAAATAAAGGATGGTAAACATTTTTTTTACAGCAGAGTAATCTATGATGTTCTGTAGCATATTGAGTTCAAAATGACAAAAGATGGTGTGACAAGCATGGATATTTATTTTGCAGCATACACCTCCTTATGTTATCTCAGACCTCTACACAGACATACAGCAAGGACATTTGCTTTTGGATCTGTTGGAAGTGCTTTCAGGTCAACATCTGGTAAGACAGAGTAATAAAAATATTGCCTCAGTCCTTCATCGAATCCAGCAAAGATTTCTGGATATGCTTAGTTGTAACCATATGAATGATCCCTCTGGAATCATAATGCTTTTTGCAAGTAACTTATTCTTATACAGCTGACAGTGAAACACACTGAAATAAGTTGATCCAAAGTAATTTGTGAATCTTTGCAGGACTTCCCGTATCAAAATGTAAAATGAGTTTTTACAACTAAGGATGTAACCTGTTCTTTTTTGCTTTACAGCCACGGGAAAAAGGATTTAATATCTTCCAGTGCAGAAGTAACATAGAAAATGCTTTGACATTTTTAAAGAACAGATCAGTGAGTATTAACTTCCAAATTCACAACTAAAGCCAGTTTAGCTGGTGGAACATTTTCGTTGTTAACAATGATCCTTTTTTTTCCTGTAGCTTAAGCTCATAAATATTCATGTTGCTGACATTATTGAAGGAAAACCTTCCATTGTGCTTGGCCTAATTTGGACAATTATATTTCATTTTCATGTAAGTATTTCAGCGATGTAAGAGAGTTTTAGTAGAGGGGAGAAACACAAAAATTTGTTGACTTAACGTGGTTGAGAGATGAATTAGTACAAAGCAGAAGATTATATTCTGACATATGGAAGTGATGGCTCAGGGAGGAGATGCACCAGTATGTCTTCCATGTGTCTCTTAGCTGCTTCACCAATGCAATGATGGCATTACAGCCTGATTGATGAATTGTATCTAGCTGCAAATGGTAAGAAGAAAAGATACTGAGATTGTTTTTTTAAAGTAACCAGATAAAAAAGAGGCCAAACTTTGCCTGTCTAAGGCCTGTAATGATCTGTAGGCTGAATACCAGCCTGCATTCAAACCCTTCCTCATAGGAACTTTGTTGAGGGGAGGGGGGTGGTGGTTGCAAGAAATCAAGACTAGAGGGACCAGGTAATGCAAACATAGATGTCTTTGATTTTATGTGGATTGATGAGTTTCACATTGTGGTCACTCTTCCACATCCAGGTCAAAGATGTACCAGCTGGAGGCTGAATGTTTGCATGCAGGGTTGTTTTGGCAGGCACCTTGCAAGTGCCAATGCCTGAAATAATATGGAGGCTGTCACAGTGATGTCTCTTATACAAGATACTGAGCTTGCATCTTGCATAGCATGAGTTTATGATGATGTTTGAAAGCACATGGCCTTGCTTTAATCATGTTGTAGGTCTGTAGAGGATGATGGAGCCAAACTATCTTCTAGCAGGAGCACAGCAGTGAATTGACATGGGTGTGCTGGGTTTGAACTGGTGGTTCAGGACAGCACTAAGAAACAAAGTTATTTTAACATTATTGTAGCCCACATTTTTCTTGGTAAAGGTACTTTGGTGTTGAAGATTGTTGTACTGCACATGGACTGTGAATTATCTTTTGACTGAAACCAAGCTTCTCTAACCAAACGCAGAGGTCTGTTGAGATCTTTCCTGCACTCCAAGTAAGCAGGCAAACTCTGAGCATGCCTAATACGTGACACTGTTGACAGCACAAAACACAGCTGCCAGGGGTTGCTTTCACTGCTAGGAGGAGTAGAAAAGCTCATTGAGTTGAGAGGTCCATTGCTGGTACCCACATGGAAGTCTTTGAACGAATATTTCCTGCCAAAAAATCACCTGAAGATGGTAATACAGCATGAAATAATTTAGGTTGAACAGATAAAAAAACCTGATCTGATCTTTGGGGGCAGAGTACTACTTTTACAGCTGTGATGGAGTCCTTTCTAAGTCTCTGTGATTTTGTGCTATTGTTGCCGTGGTAATTTTTCACTGAAGTCTGATTAACTCTCGCATCGTCTCTGATAGATTGAAGAACTTGCCAGGACACTTGCTTGTACTTACAGTCAGCCTTCACTTGATTGTTCAAGTGCTGTTGACTCCTCTCCAAAGGCAAGCCGATCAGCTAAGAAAAGTGCTAAAATTAAGGAACGGTGGAAGATGTCCGCTACAAAGGCTCTTTTGTTGTGGGCAAAAGAACAGTGTTCACTGTAAGTTTCATCCAAGACTTATAGATAATATGTTACATGTTGTATTTACTGTTTTTCTCTAAATGTGGTGATATTTCCCCATTTTTTAAACATATTAGTGACAGCTTAGCAGGAAATCCTTTAGATTTCGGATATTGTTACCAGTACTTTTAGCATCAATCAGGCCTTAAATGTTCTGACATGAGCCCTTTAAATATGATAATGTGAAGCTAATCCTACTAATAAAATACCCAATGTAAATTGAGTTGTTTGGCTTTTCCCTTTTAGGAGCTTCTGTGTAGTAAGTCTAGTGGAATGTTTACTAGTTTTAATCCTCATGGTTGGCACTGGTTCACAAAGTTTCAATTCCTTTTATTCTTTTTAATGGAAAACATAGGGTCTCTGGGTTTCCTACATCTCGTGTTTATCAAAACACTGCATGATTCCCAAGAAGGACCCTAGTCCTAGAGGTCCTAGTCCTCAATTCTAATAAGTTATTTCCTTAGGTTTGATGTACAGATAACAGAAAGCTCTCTTGATTTCAGTGGGAATGTTCGCAGCACTCAATCTAGTGCAGTTGCAGGTATTTCTTACAAGGGTAGGCTTTTCATTTTTTTCAAGGACTACTGTGTCACTCCGGGACATTTCAAACATGTTTTACAACTATGTCAGCTCTTCAGCTTTTTGGTTTCTTCATGTTCTAGTAATATCCTACTAATATTTCATGTTGTTAGTGGTAGATAAAGGCCTTCATCAGCACATCAACCACTTTCTGGTGGTTGAATGTTTTCAGGCACTGAAGTTTCCCTTTTAGCTGTTTTTTAATCAGGACAAGATTGATTGACATGTAAAAAACATCTCTCTGTCCATTTAATCTTCCTCTTTCTTTTGCTTGTTTTTCAGCAATATTGCTGTCTGTCCTGTAGCATCCTTTCTGAACTGTGATTACATTGAATGATTTTGTTATCAGTGAATCCTGTAGTTTTTGGTAAAGGAACAAATCTTGTAAGTCCCGGCCCATTGTTTTGTAACTGAATTTGATCACCTGAAACCCCACATCTTTTCCATAACATACTCGTAATACACAGGCTATTTCTGGAAAGTCATCCCAGAATTCACTGTGGTTTGCAGAGCTGAACACCTCAGAGCACTGTCGAGGCACCACTTAATAGAAGACATTTTAAAGAGACTAAGCTAAATAAGGGAAAAAATACTTTTCTTGCAGTAGTAGATCAATTTTAAGGTCTGTATTTCCTAAAATGCCAGAGGTGGTTCCAGTTCTCAGTGCCTTCACAAATACCTACATGTTCTTCAGTGCTTTGCTAGTTGTTTTTCCATCCCATACAATACATAGATACTGAGCTCCAATGTGGTGTTCAGAAAGGATGTTGGATCAGCAAGAGTTCATCTTCAGAATGCAACATAAGATAAAAAAATTTAGTCATTTTGAAAAAACAGTATAAAAATGTTGAATTGTAGCAGTTGGTAGTACTGGCTCTATTGTTGTCTGATGAAGCATCTGCAGAAGTTCTCAGTAACTCCTTGGATTTGATTCATATTGCATTTTATTGAATTTATGTTCTAGTTCTAAATTTGTACTCAGCACATCTGAGGAAACAGGCTATAACATTTTGTTTCTAATCATTCTGGTGATAGGCATGGCTCTATCAATGTGACCGATTTCAAGTCAAGCTGGCGAAGTGGGCTCCCTTTTTTAGCCATTATCCAAACCTTACGACCAGGTCTAGTTGATTTGGAGAAGGCAAAAGCTAAAAGCAATAAAGAAAACCTGAAAGAGGCTTTCAGAATTGCAGAACTGGAGCTGAATATTCCACGGCTTCTTGAACCTGAAGGTAAATGATTTGCCTTTTTTAAATCATTGTAATCAAGAGTGAGATTAATATAATTCTATATGTGTTGACTTATAATACAGGAAAAAAAAGAGATTGCTTAAGTTTGAAATGGAACATTGATCTTTACTCTAGTGTTCGAACCTGAGGTTCTTTGTATTATAACACCAACTGACTTAAGATTTGTAGGATTTTTGAATTGGTAGTAAATGCAGGAACATTATACGTAAGAAATGATATGAAACTTTCTTATTCATGGGAGAAACTTTTTCAATTGTGAATCATGCTATATTAAAATATTCCCAAGGAAAAAAATGTTCATTACATATTAATTTCTGTCAATGGTATGTTAACTGAGATGCTGCAAAATAAACATATTTATGATAATGTGTTTTAATAACTGCAGTATAGCGTGTAATTATGTGATCAGGCCTAGAAGGCTGCATGATTATGTAAATGGTATATTGGCTTTTGTAGATGTTGACGTTATGAATCCAGATGAAAAATCCATCATGACTTACGTGGCTCAGTTTTTGCAATACTCTAGGAATTTGCCTGAGTCTGAAGAAGACATGCAGGTATGTCATGTGGTTTGTCACTGAGGCATTTTTAAATGAATGTGTGTCATGGATGTCAAGAATATCAGTACTTTTCTTTGCCCAGTTTCTAACCTAACTTAGTAACAGTTAGATAGTAGATCCCCTGGTTCAGCTGTTTACAGGGCTGAATTGGCTTGAATCTTCTGATGTTCCTTTGTGGTAGTCAAGACTCAATGTAATAGATTTTTGATGATACAGGTAGAATTGCTGTGCAGGTTGCCTTGTTTTAACATTTAGCTGTTACAAAGGACGTTTTCCAAGCCTGGTTGTCTACGTGTGTGCTCTGAAGTCTAATCTGTCTACCTCTAGGGTAGAGGCAGGCAGATTTGCAAATGTGCAAAACAACCAGCTTTAAATTTAATAGCTCACATGTAAAGGGGACAGAAGTTGTCACTCACAGATCACACTGGTTGAAAAAAACAAGTTTTCTGTTCTCTATATTCTCCTGTAAGAGTTATGTATCAATTAGTTTTTCACCTATCCCCACACCGTTAACCTCCTTTCAG